TTTTTCCCTTCTCCTTGTTGCTGGGACACTCCCTGAGGAGGCAGGGGTGCAACCTGTGCCACCCATGGTCTATGAGTCATTTATCAGAACATCTTTGATAAGCATCTGCTGAAAGAATAGCATTGTGTTAGGTGCTTGGAATACACTGAGAAATAACTCAGTCCTGTCACTTGACAATAGCCCCATCCAATTATAAAGGTACTTTATAAACATCCAAGAGAATGTCATAAGACATAAGAGCTGTAATAACAGTAGCAGACTTTGATTTAGCATAAATAAAAGGGTGAACCAGGCTCTGGGCTAACTATTATGTCTCAGGCTTCTTAATACATATAACAATCTTTTTTTTTTTTTTTTTTTTAAGATTTTGTTTATCCATGAGAGACACAGAGAGAGGCAAAGAATAGGCAGAGGGAAAAGCAGGCTCCCCGCTGGGAGCCTGATGTGGGACTTGATCCCAGAATCCCGGGATCATGACCCGAGCCAAGGGCAGACACTCAACCACATTGCCACCCAGGAGCTCCTCTTTTTTTTTTTTTTTTTTTTTAAAGATTTTATTTTTAAATGATCTCTACACCCAGTGTGGAGCTCAAACTTACAAACCCAAGATTAAGAGTTGCACATTCTACCCATTGAGCCAGACAGGGCTAATCCTCATAATAGTCTTAATATGTCTATTAAGAGACTGTCTATTAAGAGACTTAATATGTCTATTAATGAGACTGTCTCATTTTATGACTAGGAAACTACACACAGAGAGGTAAAGTGACTTGCTTAAAGTCAAAGATCTTACGAGTGATGGGGCCCTTATTAATATCCAGGTAGTCAGCCTCCAGCATCTCCAGTTTAGCCACTAGTTATGCTGCCACCCAGAGAAGTTTTAAGCCTTTTATGTTAAATAAATGCAATGAATTCCAAGAAGGGAGCAGTTACTATGGGTTGAAACATCCACAAAGGCTTACTGGAGAAGGTGAGACCTGATTTGGCCTCGAAGCATGGGTTGAATGACGATAGGAAAAGAACAGATATTCAATTTAATTACCCCTCTCCTTTGTTTGTTTGTTTGTTTATTTAAGATTATTTGAGAGAGACAGCAGAGCATGTGAGAACATGAGTGAGAGGGAGGGGTAGAAGGAGAGGCTGTGTCTTGAACCCAGGACCCTGGGATCATGAGGTGAGCCAAAGGCAGATGCTTAACTGATTCAGCCACGTAGGTGCCCCTATCCCTCTCCTTTGAATCATCACTTTCATCCTAGAATGGCAATGCTGAAGGGACCCAAAGGTCATTTAGCCCAGGGATTCTTACTCTCTTGGGATTTGGACATTTTTGTTTAAATGAAAGATGAATAGAGATCTTTCCTCTGAGAGAAGGCCACTTGTATCTTTGCTGTCTGGAGGAGGAGGAGGCAAAAGCAGTAGTTCCCCAAAAGGCAGGAACAAAAAGGACATTTTAAACAGTGAGTAACCAGCTGGCCCTCTGCTGCCGCCTCTTGTCTGTTTTCCCTCGTGTCTTGCCTCATGCTGAATCACTGGGAGCTGCAGACAGGCCACAGTGCATGAATGAAAGGAGTGGGGGCTTTGAACTGCTGATGATGAAAATAAACGCAGTGTCAGTTGGGCAGGGTCTTGACAAAAGAGCTAAACACTTTGGGATTGGAATGTGAATATCAGTCTTCCTTCCCTACGTCCTACACTGCCTCGTCTCTGAGACACATAGCAGCCACTGTAAGTCCCTACGGGGTCTTGTCTTAGAAAGGGGTGGGCAGTACATTTCTCACTGTCACCTCTACCTTCCTTAGATATGTGCAGGTGAAATTTGTCTGTATTCGGACTCAGTCAAACAGGAAGAGAACATCAGAGGTGGACATGTGCCCAGCATACTTGCTCCTGCGGTACAATGAGAAACTGGATAGATTGTTCATCAGTGAACTCAACACCCAGCACATCCACGTTGACTACAAAACTGCAGGTCCCAGAGGAGACACCGCTGGCAAATCTCAGAAGACCGTATGCCTGCAGATACCCCAGCCTGCGCAGCCCATGATCGAGAAGGACCTTGACCTGGCCAAGAAGTCCCTTGTTGAACCATCATTTTGCTTAGATAAGGTCCAAACACCCTCAAAGCCACAGCAGGAGGGAATCACTCCTTCTGACCTGGCCAAGATAGCCAAAGTGATGAAAAACTTTCTTAAGGTGGATGAGGGTTCCATGGCTTCTCTCAGCGTGGGCAACAGCCAAGACTTGGACCGGTTGAGCTTCCAGAGCAGCAAGATGAGTGATCTGTTCATCCGCTTCCCAGAGAATCTCTTGCTACACCGGGTGGAGAACGCCCAGGGCCACATCCTTTATGCTTTCTTGGTGGAGAACAAGGAACGAGAGGGTCGAGTGGTACACTTTGCCGTGCTTCAGGCTGAGACAGCTACCTCTGTGGCCAAGATGCTGAGTATCTTCACGGAGTTCAACTGTGACTGGCCCAAGGTCAAGGTGGTGTTTGTGGACCCCTCCTTCCCCCATCGAGCCATCCTGCAGGAGATCTTCCCCGCTGCGCGCATCCTCCTCTCTATCTATCACACCACCCGGCTCCTGGAGAAGAAGTTGCATCGGAGTTCAGCAAATCCATCCTTTAAAAGGCTCATGAAGGAAGCCCTGCGGGAGGCGGTGTTTGTCACTTCTGATGCCAGCCTGCAAAATCTCTGTCAGATGTCCCAAGCCCTCCTAGACGAGGAGCTCTTCAGCTTCCTCCAGGCCCACTGGTTCTCCTGTGAGCTGCTATGGTACATGCACGTGAGGAAAGGCCTACATGCGTGTAACACATACATGGACAGCCTAGATGTCGTCACCAGCAAGGTGTCCAGCCTTTTCCGGGAACAGCAGTCTTTGCTGGACTGTATCCTCCGCTTCGTAGATTATATAGACTTCTTTAATACCAAAGGCTTGAAGAATGTGCCCACAGCTCCTCCCAAGTTAAAGAGAGCCCGGCCAGCCAGCCTGCCACCAAAGCCCAAGAAGGCGTTTGGAGTCTGTGGGGGCAGCCTCAGCAGGCTCCCCATGGAAGAGACCAAGCCCGGCCCCCAGCGGGTGCAGCTGCAGCAGCAGCCACAGGTATGGCCCTCCCGGGGCGGCATGCTGGATGCCTTGCATGAGAGTGGCTCCCAGCTGGCCTATAAGCTGTGCCAGAACGAGTGGGAGGTGGTACAGAACTCCACCCACCTGGTGGACCTGGCTGGCTCCTCTGTGGACATTCAGCTACTGGAGGATTCTCACCATGTTAGCAAAGATGGCTGTAGCTGCAGCTGTTCCTTTCAACAGTCGTACCACCTGCCATGCCGGCACATTCTGGCCCTGCTGCATACCAGCCAGAAGCCCGTGGGTGAAGCCATGGTGTGCCGCCGGTGGCAGAAGAGGTACCAGCACCTCCTTGGGCCCAACGGGGAGCTCCGGGACCCTGTCATGGTCCCAAACACAGGCCAGCCAGGGAAGCAAGGACGGAGTGACATGATTCAGGACCTAAGCAGGGAGCTGGCAAACCTGCTCATGCAGAGTGAAGGGCCAGAGCTAGAGGAGCGCTATTCCACCCTGCGCAAGATTGTGGACATCTGGGCGGACCCCTGCCAGCCTCCTGAGCCCAGTCAGCAGCCAGAGGACTTCAAGGATGTGGGCCGCCTCCCTTTCCTTTGGGGAAAGCCAGAGGAAGGGGAGGGACTCCCTCTTGCTGGAGCCACAATTCATGACTGAAGCACTAGCACTGGCATGCTGGACCACAGGTCCCTCTCCTTGGAAGTCGGAGAGCCCAAGGCGGGCAGGACATGCTAGGGGTCAGCATTTCAACCAGTGTCCCTACGTAGGGCTAGGAAGATAGTTACATCAGGGGGTAGAAGAACCCCACTACATGACAGTCCTTCGATTCTACCCCTCTTCTGCCCTACCTTTGTCATTCTTTGGGAGCCTCCTTCATTGTCAAGGCCAAAGTTATCTCCATGCTGAAAGGTCATCCCTCTTTCTGCCCCGTCTCCTGAGATCAGAAATCTCACTCCCATTAGAGATGAACTCCTGCCCTAGTATAGGGTGAGACAGTCCATACCTGGGAAAAGGACCTGTTTTCAGGGACAGAGGGTGATCCTTGGCTGTTGCTGCTCTTTACAAAGAATCTGTTATTTGTACTTATTTTTATTCACATTAAAGTTTGTTTTGTTTTGTTTTGTTTTTTAATAAAATCAAACAAGCTGGGGAAATGTGTGCTGTTTGGACAGGGAAGGAATCTAATGGGGGTTGTGGGGCTAAACAGAATCTGATGCCTTAAATTCAAAGACTTAGCAGTCTGCCACCAACTTCATCCTCTTCCCACCAACCAAGCCTTCAACAAGGATTTCATGCCGCCTAGAATTCTAGCAGGAAGCCACCAAATAGATGTGGGGCGAGGGGAACCTGAACCCTAGAGTCTACTACCCGCACTTGCTGGGAGACTGTGGGCAGGTTTCTAATTTCTTTGACCCTAAGTTCCTCATCTAAAAATAAGTCTTGGCCTGTTCTAATCCCAATTTGCCATCTAGATTTATATAAACAGAACTTTTTCCTTCCAGTTCTAAGCACCAGCCTGGACTTTTGTTGTTGCTAGTTTATAATGTTAACCACCTAAATCCTGGGAGCTACCCAGCTTTCCAGGATGTTCTGTTCAGGGGAACCGAGGTCAAAGGTGGCAGTCAACCTTGGTTCCTGAGCTCGTCCGCCATTCTGCCCTGACCTTAAAAAGATCACCGCGCGCTACCGCATCTCTTCTACAAAACAATGGAGGGGGCGGGGCAACAGAAGGTTCAGCTCTCGCAAGATCTGGATTTCCTCAGCTGTAATGGAGAGGGCAGATTTCGAGGCCTGGGCCTCAGTTTCCCCATAAAGCAGACACGGCACAATTACAGAGGCACCCTTTCCTCCCCTCTACCTTCCCCCGGGCTTTGGAATTTGACCAGACAAGAAAGAAAAATCCATAAAGCACCGCTGTTTATTTCCCTTTAAATTTTCGACCCCTGAGGAGTTTCCATAGCAACATGCCCTTCCCGCGTCCGGTCCCCACGCGGGGCTGCGGAGTTCCAGCCTCCCGGCTCCGGCTCTCCAGGATCCTGGTGTCCTCGGGCTCTCATTGGCCACCGCCAGCCGAGCCCCTGGTAACCCTGGGAACAGCGCCCGCCCACAGATCGCCGGGCTACGATTGGCCTAGGCCCCAAAGGCCGAACGCGAACTCTTCAGGCCATTGGCCCGAGTCTCGGCGAAGCTGGCGCCGCGGTTGGTGAGCCTAGAGGTCAGTCAGAGTCAGAGCCAGGGTCAAATAGGGAGAAATGGCGACGGAGCCAGGCCGTGGGTGAGTGATTTCTGAAGGGGTGGAGGTGTGAGGCAACTGATGACCGCGGTCAGCCATGACACAGCTCCCAAAGGGGTGGGAGGTTGACTTCTCTTCTGGCTCCGGCCGGACTCGGGACGAGAGCGTCCGACCTCTACATCCTCCCACCCGGGTGAGAGGTCACAGGCTGCGCCCCCTCTCTGGTGTTTGGACCTCAGGTACTGTGCAAAGCAGCCAGGATGCCGAGCCAAAGGCTCAGCTTCCAGCTACTTGCAGAGTAATGGTGGGCAAGTCACTTAACCTCTTCGAACCTCAGTTTCTCATCTGTAAAATGGGGACAGTAACCCGGTTTGGGGCCAAATTGAGTAAACACTGGGACAGAGTACTGCATTTAGAGGGATTTCTGGGGAGGCAGGAGAGGTCAGCCATGCATATTCGATAGCCCGTTTGTGGTTCGGTTCAAGGGCTTGAAGCTCAGAGGGAGTCACTGACTTGCCCAGCATCATAAAAGTTCTCTTATGTATACTAGGACCAAATGGAAGAATGGATGCCAAGCAGTAATCTGTAAATATAATGTGCTAAACAAATATTTTAAATGCTGTTTGAGGAGAAAAAAACAAAAAGACCATATGCAGCTCTAGCCTTCACAGCCATTTAAATCTCTTGGAACTGAATCTTTCCATGGCTAGCTTATCAATTAGGTCTCAGCTCCAATGTCATCTCCCTCCCCAGCAAGAGAGAGCTTCCCTGACCACCTTAACTGAAGTATCCCTCCCTCCCCCAACTTACCTTCTACCTGTTACCCAGTTTTGTGGTCTTGCTAACCTTCATTGCCTGTTATATCTTTGTTTACATGTTTATCGTGTATCTCGCCCAGGACGGTGAGGATACAGAATAAGCAATATTGTCTGGATGAATAATTGAGGAACCAAGCCCCTACTGTCTCCTTAAACTTCTGTTCCTCTCCATAGGCCCATCTTTGGAACAAGATCGGGGAACTACATTCCAGCCTCAAGCTTCATCTTAGTTGGAGCTTGAGATCCTGAAAGTCTCTTGGACAGCAGCCTTGCAGAGAAAATATTTTGACTGTGGCATCTAGACATCTCCCATCTCCCCCATGGCCCTGACAATGCTGAATGAGCTCTTGATTGAGGACCCAAACCCACCTATGCTGCTGTATCAGGTTAGCAAGACTGCTCAGTTAGATACCCTCAACTACCAGAGCTGCTTTATGCAAGGTGTCTTTGCCCATTTCCCTGAGATCTTATTTATCCACCGGACCTATAACCCAATGGGCAAGGTGCTATATACCTTCCTGGTAGATGGACCTCGGGTGCAGCTGGAGGGTCATCTCGCCCGGGCAGTCTACTTTGCCATTCCTGCCAAAGAGGATGCTGAGGGCCTGGCCCAGATGTTCCAGGTGTTCAAGAAGTTTAACCCAGCATGGGAGAGAGTCTGTACCATCCTGGTGGATCCTCACTTCCTCCCCTTGCCCACCCTTGCTATGGAGTTTCCCGCAGCCGAGGTCCTGCTCTCAGCCTTCCACATCTGTAAGTTCCTCCAGGGCAAGTTCTATCAGCTGTCACTTGGACAGCCTGTGGAAAGGGTGCTCCTTACTTCCCTGCAGAGCACGATGTGCTCAGCCACAGCTGGCAACCTAAGGAAGTTGTATACACTCCTGAGCAACTGCATCCCTCCTACCCAGCTGCCCGAGCTCCACTCACACTGGCTGCTCAACGACCGCATCTGGCTGGCCCACCGCTGGAGAAGCCGAGCTGAGAGCAGCCGGTACTTCCAAGGCCTGGAGGTCACCACCCGCGTCCTCAGCCAATTCTTCGGCACTACCCCATGTGTGGAACAAGGCATGGTCTCTCTGCTCCGATACATGCACCAGAACTCTGGAGACAAGGCAAGTTTTAGCCTGGGCCTGAGTCCCCAGAACAATCATGCCACCTTAGACGTCAGCCCCGAAAGCCCCAAAGTGGAGCAGCTAGTAGAAACCCGCATCCAGCACTCCCTCAATGCCATCTGCACGGGGCCAGCTGCCCAGCTCTGTCTGGGTGAACTCGCTGTGGTCCAAAAATCTGTGCACCTCATTGGCTCCGGTTCAGAAAAGGTGAACATCCAGATCCTGGAGGACACCCATAGGGTACGGCCCCAGCCCCCTGCCAGCTGCAGCTGCTACTTTCACCAGGCCTTCCACCTGCCCTGCCGCCACATCCTAGCCATTCTCAGTGCCCACCACCAGGTGCTCCAGCCCGACATGCTCCCAGCACAGTGGACAGCAGGCTGTGCTGCCAGTCTAAACAACATCCTGGGCAGCAAGTGGAGTGAGACGCTGGATAAGCACTTGGCCGTGGCTCTCCTCACTGAGGAGGTGGGTCAGCTCTTGCAGCACTGCAGCCAGGAGGAGTTTGAACGGAGGTACAGCACCCTGCGGGAACTGGCGGACAGCTGGATCGGCCCTTATGAGCAGGTTCAGCTCTGATTACCCTAAATGCCCAGAGATGTTCATACACATGTACACACTCACACCCACACACAACACACACACACAACACACACACACACACAACACACACACACACACAACACACACACACACAACACAAACACACACTATCATACTCCTGCGGGCCCTCTTCCCAGGAAAGGACAAGTGTCTTCTATTCTACTATAGCGTGCTACCTAAAATGTGTCTAGTTCCCTAAGACAGGAGTCAGCAAACCTTTTTTATAAAGGGCCTGGCAATAAATATTTTAGACTTTGCTGACCACAGTCTCTGTTGTATATATATTCTTGGTTTGGTTTTTGTTTGTCAGCCTTTTCAAAAGATTAAAAACCACTTAGCTCAAGGGCCTTACTGAAACAGGTGGCTTCTGTTCTAGAGTAAGACACTGGGTGTAGATAAGGGATCAAGGGCAGGAGTTTGGTAATAGCTTCTGCAGTCATTAGATGCCTCACCTGACTCACAGAGGAGAGATGGATCTCAGCCTTTGTCCCCCGGCCCCCACCGAGGTCATTAAAGTCAAATGTTGCCTGTTCCAGCATTTGACTAGTTTTTGTTGTCTTCTAGAAGACAGCAAATATTGTGGAAAGAATAGACTTTGGAGTCTGACACTACATGCAAATCTTGGTTTTTTTTCTCTGCCTGATTTTTGAGGCCTGGTTGTGCCTTTTACTAGCTCTGGGACATCAAGCAGGTCACCCCTCAAAAGGCTCGATCTGTTCATCTGTAAAAATGGAGAGCCTCAGAGCATTGGTAAGATTAAAGGAGAGCCTGCATGTAATGGGCCCAATGACCAGGGGGCACTCAAATAACTGTTCATTTTCCTTCCTTGCCTCTGGTCCGTCCCATCAATTGCCCTCAGCTGGCTGAGAAATGTAAGGTAAGAGGAAAGTTCACATGGCCTAGGACTTTGTACATCTTGATCAAATCCCAAAACTGTACAAAAGAGGCCTCCACTCCAAGCTGGGCTCCCTCAGGTAATTTTCATCGTAACTACCCTGAGAAGACCTATCTCCTGACTTAGTGGTATCTGGAGAAACTTCTGGGGTCTGGGCCCTGATGACTCAGATGAAAGGCTTGTGTTCATCAGGGTGGCTCAAACAACCACCCTCTCCCCCCATCCTTGTCACAGGTACCCCCAATTCTGTCTGCCCAAAAACCATGCGGAGAAGCCACCCTATGTGTCTGGTGCTATTTCATCCAGCTACAAGCAGGAGCCAGGAGGCTGGCCTCTCCTGGATCTCATTAGGGGCATTTGCCCTGAGGCTGTGTGGGCATGTGCCTGCTCGCACCGCGCCCCTTCCATAACCCCTCCTGGCTCTGGGTGGGCCATCATGAAAGCTTGAGCGGCCCGGATCAGGTCCTCTTCCCTCAGGCCTGGGACAGGCACGGTGGGGATGCCAGCGATCATCATGGCCAGGGTAAGGATGCAGATGTCAGGCTGGGAGCCGGCCTCTGTCCCCTCTGCCTCGGAGGGCATCGGTAGAACGCCTGGTGACAGCCCACACAACAGCAGGGGCCCAGGCCTGCTGGGGCCACCCAGCTGGGGAGCTCTGCTTCTGGAGCAGCCATCCTCCCAGCCCAGGCTCTCTGGCTGCCTTGCGTAGGGGAATTTGTGGTTGTATCGGCCATACTCAGTCCGCTGTAGTATCTCCCAGCTAGCCCCCCCAGGGCAGCCCCTGGCTTCTGGCACTGCCAGGGCTGGGCCCCAGGCCTGGGCAACAGGTGCCACCTGTTCAGCTTTCTGGCTCAGTGGGCCTAATCCACCAGAGGCCACCACCACTGGCTCTACAGGACTGTAGAGGCCAAGGGATGAGCCTGGAGAAGCAGCCCCACCTGTAGAGACAAGAATGAGATGGAATGTTATTCTTGGTCTCTTTCAGGAGGCCCTGAGGGCCAGGGCATAGGAGCAGAATATTAAACAGGAGCAATTAAGACCAGCCCAGGAGGGCTGTCTAGTGGTTGGGAACTAGGTGTTTTACTCATATCCGCACCCCGAGTCCCCAGCACCAAGTAAGGAATGGAGAAGTGTTGAATGAACTAGTGAGCAAGCAGGTAGTTCCTGGCAAGGACTTTTGGAATGGCTTTCTTCAGAGAATTGACTCTAGGGCCAACCCAAAAATGTACAGCAGAAACTCCACCTCCCCAGAGCCAGGAAACAAGTTTTCAGGGAAAGCTGTGGTACCCCTTCCAATTCCAGGAGCCCCTCTCTCACCTTGGCTGGAAGGCAGAAGACCTTGATGAGTTTGTGGAGGCACGAAGTAGGACATGGCTGCCCCAAAGCCCCCGTTTGTGAGGGAACAGTCATCTGCCTCCTGTCCTACCCTTCCCACCATTCTAGAATGTCACCTCATAGTCCCTGCCCTTTACACCTGGAACCCACCTCACAGCATTGACCTGTTCATTCTAGAACCTGTATATTACAATGGGATGGAGTTAAGAGTGCTGGACCAGGAACTGGACATTCTAGGTTCTTACCTCTACCTTGGGCAAGTCACACAGACAGTTTTGTTCCTCGATATTCTCCTCCGTAAAGTGGAAGTAATGACTACCCACTACCTCACCAGAAGTTGTAGGGATGATATGAAGCTATTTGTATGGAAGCAAATGATCAGAGATACAAATAGAGGCAAGTGCTTTGTGCTCTGCAGCATGAGAGGAGTGCTCTGCACTCATTCATCTGCTGTGTGACTTTGGAATACATTTCCATCCTAGACTTTGGCTTCCCATCTCCAAAATGATGTCGTTGGTCCAGGGCACTGGGTCTCACCCTGGGATCCACATTAAATTCTCCTGGGAGCATTCAGAAATCCTGGTGCCCGGCCTCACCTCACACCAATTAAATCAGAATCCCAGAGTCGGATCCAGTTAGCAGTATTTTTCAAAGTCCCTCAAATGGTTATTATATATGCTAAAATCAAGATCTCTATTCTAGGGGAATCCTAAATCCTGGCTGTATATTAGAATCTCTGAGGAGCTTTTATAAAAGAACAAGGCCTAGGCCTGATCCTCTGACAAATGGAATGAGAATCGCTGGAAATGGGGTTCGGGGCATCAGCTCTTTAGTTTATCTCAGAGAACCTGAATGAGTAGGGTCCCAGGCTAGGAATGGTGACATCAGAAATGCTCTCTCTTGTTCAGACCTGCTGACCCACAGTGATTCTAAAAGAAGTGCCCCTCATGGGCTTCCAGGGCAAGGAGACCCTCCAGTGATTGGTGTCAGCACCGGCTGTGTTTATTTCCAGGCCTGGCTGGCAGCAGTATGGCCAGTTTCAGACCAGCCACAGCTCCAGAGCCAGGACAGGCTCATGTGGCCCAGTTCCAGGGTGGCTGCAGGCCTCTACTCATACTTGCAGAAATCCTTAAGTCCTTTCGGCAGGTGGAGCCCATCAATGGCCAACCGGTGCACCACGCTCCTCTGGATGACTAGGCGGCACAGAGTCTGCAGGGACGGCACTGTGGAGAGAAGGCTGTCAAAGACAAACTGAAATGGAGAGGAGAGGGGTCTGAGGCTGACACCCAGAAGATCTAGGTCCTGGTTCTCCCTTTGTCATTAGCTTGGGCTAGTCCCTTCTGCTCTGAAGGCCTAGCTTTCGTCATAGGGCTGCACGTGTGGTTGAGATAAGTACCTCTTTCAAAACATCCACAATGCTGCCAATTTCTATTTTAACTCTCCCTTAGCAGTTTTGGGGGTGGAGGCCTATAGGTAGTGCCTGATTCCCCTGTGCACGGCCCAGCCTCCAGCACAGGTCTGACACCAAGGGGGTTCTAGTTCACTGAATTCATAAATAAGGGACTTAATGGAGCTATAAAGGGCCAGACCCCATGATTAAGACGTCTCAGTCTGGGACCTACGATGCCTTTAAACTGGGATGCCCAGGGCAGCCCGGATGGCTCAGCGGTTTAGCGCTGCCCTCAGCCCAGGGCGTGATCCTGGAGACCAGGGATTGAGTCCCACATCAGGCTCCCTGCATGGAGCCTGCTTCTCCCTCTGCCTGTGTCTCTGCCCCCCTCTCTCTCTCTCTCATGAATAAATAAATAAAATCTTTAAAAAAATAAACTGGGATCCCAAATCCAGGAGCATTTGTCTAATAAAAGAGCACAGGATTTAAAGAAGAAAAAAAAAACAACAACAAAAAAGAGCAAAGCATTTACACAGCAGCCCAAGTGTAAAATCAGTTTAGAATCCCTTCCCTAGGTTAATACAGAAAATACTAGCAAAGCAAAGATCCTAATGGATCACAGCCAAGATGGCCAAACTGAGGCCCAGAGCCAGGGAGCTACTTGTCCAAGATCGCAAACAGAGGGAGAATCTGAAGTCAGATTCCCCCAACTTCGAAAGTAACGCTGGACAGACCAGGGCCTTGCCAGCTGGCTTGGGTATCCTAGCAAGTTGCGGTCCCCACGCTGGGCCAGGAGGGGTCGCTGCCCAAGGGGTGGGATACCTACAGCCGTACTCGAGCTGGACCAGGCGCACGCTCTTGGTGGAGGCAAACACGTCCACCACTGCGTAGAGGGGCTGGGCGGCTGGCAGCCCCCGGGCGCTGGGGCCCATGTCCTCGCCGTTGATGACGATGTGCATGTCGGCCGTGCCGTCCGGGCGCGGACAGAAAAGAACGCCCAGGCGGCTGCGGCGCGCGGTCGGAGGCAGCACGTTCAGCTCATACAGCTGATCCAAGAGATGGCTGTAGAGCCCGGGCCGGCTGCGACCCACCAGGCGGTCGCGGGGAATTCGAAACTGCTCGATGCACAGATACGGTTCCACCAGGAGGGCAGGGGGGCGGCTGGGAGCCAACGCCTCTGCCTCCGGGCGGTCCTCCCGGGGCACGCGGTTGTGATGGCGCGTGATGGCGAAGACCCAGGTGTGGCCGAGGCTGACCAGGTCGGGCAGCGAAAACTCGGGCACGGCGGCCAGAGTGGCGGGGTCCAGCGCGGTCAGGCCGAGGCGCAGGTGCCCGCACCAGCCCAGCTCTTTCTCCTCGATCTCGACCAGGAATACCTGGCCCGGGGCCAGCGGCTCGCGACTGAAGCATACGCCGTGAGCGAAGCTCTCCACGCGTGTGGCCCGCGTCCCGGAGGGGTCCACGCGGATGTTGGCACCGTGCACCTGGTGGAAGCGGGTGGGAGGGGGCTCGGGGCGCGCGGGTCTCCAGGGCGCACGCAGGTCCACGGGGTCGGAGACAGCAGCCATCTCCCGGCCACGAGACAGACCGGCGGGCGCCGGGGGCTATTTTGGGCGGCGTGCTCAGAGGGTGACGGCGGGGGCACCAAGTAAGGTATCCCTCCCACCCCCCCGCCTGCCTTCCCCGAGGCTCTGCGCGGGGGTCCTAGCGCCGCTTGCTCGGCCATCCCGCCTGGACCTGGACCTGGGCCCCCGGGAGGCCGGGCGATCGGGGCCGCCCGCATCTGGGCCATCTGATGGCTGGCGCGCGCGAGGCGGCCTGGGAGGCCCGCGGGCTCTGACCCCGCGCGACCGCAGCCGCCGCCAGCAGCCCCGGGTCCCCGGGGGACCGGAGAGGCGCCGGAGGGCGGCCGTCACGTGACGCCGGCGCCCACGTGACCCGGCCTTCACATGACCTTCCGCGGCCGGGCCCCTCCTGGAGAGCAAGGACGCGGGGGAGCCGAGGTGAGGGCGCCCCGGGAGGCTGGAGGGGACCCGCGGTCCGGGACGGTGCGGCGGGTGGGCGCCGGGGCCGGGCAGGGGACTCCCGTCGCCGCCGCCTGCAGCTCCTCCGCGGGGCGGCCACGCGGAAGCGCGGAGGAGCGAGGGAGCGCGGAAACAGCCCGCCTCGCTTCCTGTGGCAGATGGTCCGAGCCGCGCCGTCGCCGCCGTGGCTGCTGCGGCTGCGGCTGCTGCTGCTGCTGCTCCTGCTCTGGGCGCCGCCGGGCCAGGCAGCGCCGGACCTGGACGAGATCCAGTGCCTGCCCGGGCTGGCCAAGCAGCCGGCTTTCCGCCAGTTCTCCGGCTACCTCCGCGGCTCCGGCCCCAAGCACCTCCACTACTGGTCTGCGGCCCTCCCTCCCGGGCGGGGCGGGCGCGGGGTGCGAGCTGGGGAGGGGCCGAAGACCCCCGAGGGAGCCTGCGAGCTGGGAGCGCCGGCAGGGGCCGCTCCGCCTGCACCCACCGTGCTCTGCATCCTCTCGCAGGTTTGTGGAGTCCCAGAAGGATCCCAAGAGCAGCCCTCTGGTGCTTTGGCTCAACGGAGGGCCGGGCTGCAGCTCCCTAGATGGCTTTCTCACGGAGCACGGCCCCTTCCTGGTGAGTGGAAAGCCACTGTCCCCCCCACCCCGGACCCCAGCCACGGGCCGGGGGAGAGGTAACGGAGCGTGCCTAAAGGAAAGAGCCCGGGAGGAGGGAGAGCACGACTTGGAGGTGTTTCCAAGTGTGCCCTTTTGGGAGTCTGGGTTTCCTGATCGGACCTATTGGCTTGACTATCTGTACTTTTCAGGGGTTTTGCCCAAATGGGAAGTGCCCAGCACCGTGGCCCTTCCTTCTACCCAGTTGGCCCTTGGCAGTCAGCCATCTCTCTCCTCCTCAGGTGCAGCCAGATGGTGCCACTCTGGAGTACAACCCCTATTCCTGGAACCTGGTATAGCTGGAGCCTTGGGTCCTGTGGGGGTGTCTGGGCAGTTGGCTGGGTTGGGGAGTCTTCTTCAGTTGGTTTCCTCCTCCTCTGTAGATTGCCAACGTGTTGTATCTTGAGTCCCCAGCTGGGGTGGGCTTCTCCTACTCTGATGATAAGACTTATGCAACCAACGACACGGAGGTGAGTCCAGTGCCTGCCCCGTGCCCCAGCCTTCCTGGTTCTCTAAGCACGGCAAGACACAAAAGTCCGTTTTTGGTTCTGTCACATGTTATGTGTGGTCTCGACTAAACCACTTCCTCTTGCTCAAACACAGTGGGTGGGTGTCATCTCTGATACTTTTCCAGCTCAAATACCAGGGTCTTTTGATTCCCTTCATCTCGCTTTCCCTAGGTTGCCCAGAGTAATTATGAGGCCCTTAAGGATTTCTTCCGCCTCTTCCCGGAGTACAAGGACAATGAGCTTTTCCTGACAGGAGAGAGCTATGCTGGCATTTACATCCCCACCCTGGCAGTGCTGGTCATGCAGGATCCCAGCATGAACCTTCAGGTACAGGGCCACTGCAGGAGGGAGGTGAGGCAGCTCATGGTTGTGGCCTTAGTGAAGTCAAACAGGCCATCTTCCCTGCCTGGTCTCCTTTGCAAGATGCTTGCCACCAGCCAGCCTACCACAACAGGAAGCTCACCTGTCACCCAACCCACTCTATTCTTTACTCTGAGTGGCCTTCCCATAAACCACTTTTGGATTTCAGCTTCCAGATTGCTGAAGGTCTGGGTGTAGTCAAGGGAGGCTCCTCTCCCTCCAGATGACCTGAATGCCCTGGGTGTTTCACAGGGGCTGGCTGTGGGCAATGGACTCTCCTCCTATGAGCAGAATGACAACTCCCTGGTCTATTTCGCCTACTACCATGGCCTTCTGGGGAACAGGTATGGGAGGGGATAGTTGGGCAATCTCCAGGGTGGGGCAGGTCACAAGAGCTCATGTCTGTCCTCCAGGCACATGATACCCTAGGCCCTACCCTGGTTTATGAGCAGCAGGTGGGGGGTGGGGTTGCTGGAAGTGTTTGGTGCTGAAAGAGTCTGAGGAGCACTGGCAGTATGGCCCCAGAGCAGCTAGGTTTGGAACCTACATACCATTCCCTGTGATCCGTTTCCTCATTCCCTGGGGTCAGGTGGTTGTGGGAAGTGGGAGGAGAAGGTGGGAGCCCCGCCTTAGTCCTGACCGCTTTTATCCATCTCCTGCAGGCTCTGGTCTTCCCTCCAGACCCACTGCTGTTCCCAGAACAAGTGTAATTTCTATGACAACACCGACCCAGAATGTGTGACAAATGTGAGGTTCTGCCCCCAACCTGTGTCACCCCTGACACCCCCAGCCCTGAGAATA